CGAGCCAAGAATATTGAGGAGCTCGAGGTTGGGTTGGCCGATGAGCTTGCAAAGGCCATATCAGAGGCAGAAAGTGTAAAGGCCGATCCGGAAGCGGTTGTGGCCGTCTACCGAGCTGATGCTGAAGCCGCTCACACTCGAGCAAAGGAGATTTCTGATGCTGCTCAGGTTCGATCATTCTGTGTTGCTGAGCATGCCAAATGTAGTCTCGGAGAGAGACTCTCGAAGATATTCATGGTCGTGGTTTTGAACTTATTGCCGATATCGAGAACGTGAAAGTGCTAGAGGATGAAGCCAAAGCTTTGCTCTCTGATGATGATGGTTCCGGGAGCTCGAGCGGATCCAAGAGTGGAGGGAATGAGGATGAGGCTCCCGGGGAAGATTAGGCACTTAGAATTTTTTCTTCTTTTTTGGATTTTTGTGTAAGACCCTGAGTGGTCTTTGTAAATATTTTGGCATATATGAAAGATCCCTTTTCTTTCCGACTTGTCTCCAATTTTTGTTTTGTGAAGACTCGATTTTTCTTTTCGCCTTATATACTTTATATTGAGGATTTTTACTCACTTCGTTGTCTTAAAAAAAATTTCATTTTCGTTTGTTTGTTAATCCGAAACTTAAGCAATTTGATCGAAGTCGGACTAATATAGTCTCTTTTATCGAGTGAGTACTTGCTCGAACTCAGAGTAGAAAAAACCCTTAGGTTTCGGTTGAGAGAGGGTAGATCCTCGAAACCAAAAATATAAATGGCCCTTAGGCTCTTTGAATTGAGCCGATATGGCCTCAAAAGAGTGGCTTCTTCCCTTTTTAGCTTAAAAATATTAATCATATAAGAATTAATTATGCCTTAGCACGAGGTGACTCTATACCCATAAGGATTCTCGAGGGTTAGAGTCATCGAAAAACTTTGTTATGCCTTTGCATAAGTTTGTTCGAGAGTTTGAACAATTTGGTACCCCTTAAGGTTTTTGAGGGTTGATGTTATCGAAACCCTTTGTAATTTTGCCGAGGGTAGCCTTGTTTAACCGGTTTGAGAAAATATTTGAAGGCCTATTTTATTACGGAATTCGGACGTCTCCGAACCGTGTTAGTTTGGCCGTGGCCATTAACTTGATATTTGCCCTTTGGGCTTGTTACTCAATAGTACTTCGAACTTGTTCGATGTACCAGTCCCCGAGTGGGATGGCCGTGGCCTATAAAATAGAGAGTTGCCTTTACAAGGTCTTGTGGTCTAGAAGTTTAGTAATTTGAGCTTGTCAATTTTGGACAGTAGTCCCCAAGTACCGTGTTAGTTTGGCTGTGGCCTTTGACTTGAGATTTTCCTTTAGGCTTGTTTCTCAACAGTACTTCAAACTTGTTCGAAGTACCAGTCCCCGAGTTGGATGGCCGCGGCCTATAAAATCGAGAGTTTCCTTTACAAGGTCTTATGGTCTCAAAGTTTAGTAATTTGAGCATGTCGATTTTTGGACGGCAGTCCCTGAGTACGGGGTTGGCAGCTCGAGCTTTAGTTGCGATCGACGCATAGATCATAAGTAAAGTAGAAATTTGCAACGTAGAAATTTCACTAAGGCATGGAACATATGGTAAGGAAAAAAATACTTCTTTCAATAGATAATTTCTGCGTACATGTTTTGTCATCGGGGCTCGAATAATCTACAAGGACACGGTTCATTCGACCGTTTGGCCCTTTACAAACTTTTACCTATCGAGACTTGTTGATACAGAATACTTTTTTTGAGAACATAACATCTGTGGGTGATGCCCCACAGTATTCGAGGTTGATTGTAAAGAAGCCTTGGATACTATTGAATTGTCCCCAGGTAGCACAAATAATTGTTGCCCTGTTAAAAACCTCGCCGGAAAAATCCATTTGGGATAAAAACCGATCTAAGTGAAAAAGAGTGCAACGCGTGCTTTAAAACCTAAGGTCTTCGTGTTGAAGGATTTGTCTTCGAACGAACTCCTGCAACAAGTTAGTATCAAACACAAATGAAAAAGGGGAAAGTCATACCTTAGCAATAATATCATTTGAGGAGTGATATGTTCCAATTATTTTGCAATTGTTCGCCGTCCATTGTGACAAGTTTGTAAGATCCGTTTTCGCTGACACCGAGGACCTGGTATGACCCTTCCTAATTCGGGCCGAGTGTCCCCTCGTTAGGATCTCGAGTGTTGAGGGTGACTTTTCTCAGAAGTAAGTTCCCTATTTTGAAGTGTCGAATATTGGCTCTTCGATTATAATATCTTTCGATTCGTTGTTTCTGGGCGGCCATTCGAACGAGTGCGGATTCGCGTTTTTCGTCTAGCAATTCGAGGTTTGAGTTCATAGCCTCATGATTTGATTCTTCAATTGTGTATTGAAACCTGACGCTGGGTTCCCCGACTTCGATCAAGATCAGAGCTTCAACGCCAATACTAAGGAGAACGGTGTTTCCCCCGTACTGGATTTTGTCGTTGTTCGATATGCCCAAAGTACTTCGGGCAGAATTTCTCTTTATTTCCCCTTAGCATCGTTCAAACTTTTCTTTAGGTTCTGAATGATGGTCTTGTTCTTTTATTCGGCCTGTCCGTTCCCACTAGGATGATATGATGTCGATAATATCCTTTTTATCTTGTGATCTTTGAGGAACTTCGTTAATTTGTTGCCGATAAATTGTTTCCCATTATCGCATACTATCTCGGCGGGTATCCCGAATCGGAATATGTGATCCAAGATGAAGTCTGTAACTTCTTTCTCTCTAACTTTCTCGAAAGCCTGTGCTTCAACCTATTTAGAGAAATAGTCAGTCATAAATAAAATGAATATAGCTTTACCTGGGGCCGATGGCAGAGGACCAACGATGTCCATCCCCCATTTCATGAATGGCCATGAGGATAGGACTGAATGAAGTTGCTCTCCGGGTTGGTGGATCATCAGCGTATGCCTTTGGCACTTGTCACATTTTTGAACAAATTCTTCAGTATCTTTCTCCATGTCGATCCAATAATATCTTGCTCTGATGAATTTTTAAACCAATGACTCGGCACCGGAATGGTTTCCCGTAGGTGCCCTCGTGGATTTCTCGTAAAATGTAATCGGTGTCTCCTGGCCCCAAACACTTCGCCAACGGCCCATCGAACGTTCTCCTATATAATGTTCTATCTTCGGCCAAAGTGAATCGTGCATCTTTAGTGCGTATAGTCCTTGACTCTTTCGAATCCGATGGGAGCTTCCTATTCTTTAAGTATTCGATGTACTTATTCCTCCAATCCCAGGTTAAACTTTTGGAGTTTATCTCGGCATGCCCTTCCTCGATCACTGGCCTTAAAAGTTATACGACAGTCCTCGAGCTCAATTTATTATCTTTGATTGACGACCCCGAATTTGCGAGGGCATCAACCTCGCCATTCTGTTCCCGAGGGATGTGCTGTAGCGTCCATTCTTTAAATCGATGAGAGACACTTGTAACTTGTATACGTACCTCTGCATCCGATCTTCCCGAATATCAAAAGTTCTGTTGACCTGATTTACCACAAGTTCGGAGTCACACTTGGCCTCGATGACATCAGCTCCCAAGCTCTTAGCTAGCTCGAGACCTGCAATCATGGCCTCATACTCGGCCTCATGGTTAGTCAATTTCAAAGTTTTGATAGACTGCCTAATCGTATTGCCTGTGGGTGGCTTCAAAATGATGCCTAGCCCGGACCCCTTCACATTTGAAGCACCATATGTGAAAAGGGTCCACACCCCCGAGGATGTACCCGACTTTAGCAATAGTTCCTTTTCGACCTCGGGTACGAGGGCTGGTGTGAAGTCGGCCACGAAGTCTGCTAAGATTTGAGACTTGATGGTTGTTCGGGGTTGAAACTCAATATCGTACCGGCTAATCTCGATGGCCCATTTGGCCAGTCGGCCCGAGAGTTCAGGCTTGTGCAGAATGTTGCGAGGGGGGGTATGTGGTTATAACACAGATAGGATGACATTGAAAATAAGGTTTTAATTTCCTAGAGGTGCTTATTAGGGCAAGCACTAATTTTTCTAAGTGCAGGTACCGGGTTTTGGCCTCACCTAAAGTTCGGCCAACATAGTAAACAGGAAATTGTGTACCTTGCTCTTCTCGAACTAAGACACCACTTACCGTGACCTCCGAGACTGCCAAATATAAGTGAAGTTGCTCGGCCGTTTTCGGAGTATGAAGCAATGGTGGTCTCGAAAGATACCGCTTTAATTCTTCCAATGCCTGTTCGCATTCCGGGGTCCAAGTGAAATTGCTCTTCTTTTTGAGAAGCCAGAAAAACTTGTGACTTTGGTCCGAAGACCTCGAGATGAACCGGCCTAAAGCGGCTATCCGCCCTGTTAATCTTTGTACGTCCTTAACTCTGTCCACGACTGTGATGTCTTCGATTGCTTTGATTTTATCGGGGTTAATCTCGATTCCCCGATTCGACACCATAAAGCCAAGGAACTTGCCCGAGCCGACCCCAAATGCACATTTCTCAGGATTGAGCTTCATGTTGTATCTTGTCAATATGTCGAAGGTTTCCTACAAATGTGTTAAATGGTCCTCTGCGCCCAGGGACTTAACTAACATGTCATCAATATGAACTTCCATTGATTTACCTATTTGTTCTTCGAACGTTCGATTTACTAGGTGTAGATAAGTAGCACCAGCATTTTTTAATCCAAATGGCATTACATTATAGTAATAAGTACCGTACTTAGTGATAAATGAAGTCTTTTCTTGATCCTCCGGGTTCATTTGTATTTGGTTGTACCTGAAGTAGGCATCGAAAAAGCCGAGGGTCTCGTGGCTGGCAGTGGCATCGATCATGTGATCGATATTCGGCAAAGGGAAAGAATCTTTAGGGAATGCTTTGTTTAAGTCCTCATAGTCTACGCACATTCTGAGTTTATTCGCTTTTTAGGGACTACGACTACATTTGCCAACAATTTAGGACATTTTACTTCCCGAATAAACCCTATTTTGAGAAGTTTGTTTACCTCATCCTTGATGAATGCATGCTTAACCTCGGACTGCGGCCTTCTCTTTTGCTTTACCGGCTTGAACTTTGGGTCCAAGCTCAATCGATGACTGGTAATTTCCAATGGGATCCCTGTCATGTCAAGGTGGGACAAAGCAAAACAATCCATATTTTCAATAAGGAATTTAATGAGTTTTTCCTTGAGCTCGGGGGTTAACCTCGTGCCCAAGTATACCTTTCGATCGGGCAGGTGCTCGATCAGTATGACTTGCTCCAGCTCTTCAACCATTGACTTTGTGACATCGGAATCATCGGGGATTATGAAGGTTTGAGGTATCATATAATCATCATCCTCAAAATTTTCCTACTGCTCCGTTCTGGTCGAGGCCGGCGACTCTGGTTGCTATTTGACTTCCTGATTTCCCTTTGATTTCGGTCCTTTCAATGATAATAGTGCCGATATCGGTATTACTTCATCAATTGCAAACATTTTTTTGGCTGCGGGTTGTTCGCCGTACACAATTTTGATTCCTTCTGCTGTAGGGAATTTCAAGACTTTATGAAGCATTGAAGGTACAACCCTCATATTATGAATCCAAGGTCTTTCGAGCAGCGCATTGTATCTCTTATCACCGTTGATTACATGGAACTTCGTTTCCTGGATAGTCCTGACCAGGTTTACTGGCAACATGATTTCCCCATTGGTGGTTTCACTTGCCATGTTGAAACCGTTGAGAACTCGAGCTGCAGGCACGATTTGATCCTGAAGGCCGAGCTGCTCCACGACCCTCGATCGAATAATATTTTTTGAGCTACCTGGATCAACCAACACACGTTTAACTTGAATTTTATTCATAAGGATAGATATTACCAGTGCGTCGTTGTGAGGCTGTTTGATCCTTTCTGCATCCTCATCGTTGAAAGATAAGGTATCCTCTAGTAAGTAATCCCGAGTATATTTCTCCTTTGTGATCGTCACTTTGGTACGTTTGAATACCTGGCCTTGAGGAACATCGACCCCGACGACGATCATATGAATCACATGCTACGGTTCTTCCTGTTCATTCCTATTTGCATCCCTGTCTTTGAAGTGATTTTTCTCTCGGTCACTCAAGAACTCTCGAAGGTGACCCTCGTTGAATAAACGAGCTACCTCCTCCCTTAACCGTCTGCGGTCTTCGGTTCTGTGACCATGGATTCCATGGTACTTGCGCATTTGATTTGGATTCCTTTGAGTTGGATCGGTCCGTAGGGGTCTAGGCCACCTAGTATCCTTGATTTGTCCAATGGCCGACGTAACACCTGAAGCATCGACGCTGAAGTTGTATTCCGGTAACCGTGGTGCTTCTTTAGGCTCGACATGTTTATCGAAGCAACTCTTACTCATGAGCCCTCGGGAATTTTGACCTCAATCATTCGTTCAATTATTTCGAACGGGATTATGTCCTGGTCTGTTGTTTCTACGATCTGCGCTATATGGTTGGTGCTATCTCTGTTCGATCGGGGCTCTCTATCATTATCTCTTTGAATCGTGCCTTCGGATCTATTTGGGTTAACAGAACTGGATGGGGCTCCCAAATGATCACCGTCGACTCTGATCTTTGACTGGTACCGATAATGCACATCGGCCCAGGTCACCGCTGGATATTCGATCAAATTCTACTTTAGTTGATGTGATGCTACCTAACTTTCCTCGTTGAAAGCCTGAGTAAAGGCTTGGACAACCCAATCATTGGCAACCGGGTGTCGGTCCATGCGTTCCATCTGAAATCGAGATACAAATTCCCTTAGCATTTCATTGTCTTTTTGTCTCACTTTGAAGAGGTCCGACTTCCTGGTCGTGACCTTTATTGCTCCGACGTATGCCTTTACGAACGAATTGGCGAGCATGGAAAAAGAATCGCGGCAAATTATGGTACCATATCATTGCCCCCTTTGATAAAGTTTCTCCAATTGTTTTCAACAAAACGGATTCAATCTCATCATCTTCTAAGTCATTTCCCTTTATTCCGCATGTGTACGAAATGATGTGTTCATTACGATCGTTGGTCCCGTTGTACTTGGGGATGTCTGGCATGTAGAACTTCATAAGAATCGCTTCGGAGCCGCATTTTGAGGAAGTCTTATGCACGAACTTCTTCGAATCCAAACCCTTTTGGATTGGGGGTGCCCCTGGTATTTGGTCAACTCGTGAGTTGTACGTTTCTACCTTTTTTGTCATTAGGCTCGATTTTCTTTTCACCTGATTCTATCTGTTTAGTGAGCTCCGTGAGCATCTTCATGACGGCGGGGTCACTTCTTGATCCATTATCGTTCAATTTCTCCTGAACAGGTTCGACCCTATGAATGACTTCATGCGATGTATCGAGTTCGATTCTGCTTGGTGCCCAATTCCATAGTTGCGCTAATGTAGCCTGCTGAGTTTGTAACATTTCAAATATCATTCGAAGGCTAATCCCGCCTTCTTCACCACTCTGTGCATTCTGATCGGCTGCCCGAGCATCTCTGCTGACGCTATTTTCAGGGTCGGGGCAAAAATTTTCAAGGTCGGGGCATGAATCGCGACACGAGAATTGACATCCATCGGATTTACGGCCTGTGGTCCATTTACGGCCTCTCGTTTATCGGGATTGATTAGAAATACTCCATTTCCCAAGGCGGCTATGTGCTCGTCTTCGCCATGAAGACCAAGGCTGGTGTCTGTGTGAGTGGGCACTGCTTGAGAGTTTGACATGTTGATTCCTGAAATCAAAGACACTTAGGAGAACAAGTGTAAAAGCATTGTGTGTTACGGGGATTAATACTAGGCAATAACTATTATCCTTAGCCCCACAGTGTGAGCCAAATTGTTTACCCTAAAAACTGGATAACAATTAAACTTATAATGTGGTTTTAAGGATAGGTGATTTCACCTAATACCAATTGATTAATCTTAAAGATAAGAGATGGGAATTGACAAGAATGTAAAATAAACCAGTGCTTGGACAGTGCCCTCGAGCCGATGAACCCTCGAACTTAGTAAAGTAAGAACAATTAAAGAGCTACAAGTTGATAAACCAGAGAAAAAGAGAAATATTATATTGCCTTGATTTGTATGAATGTAAAAGTGTCGTACAAAAATGATTAGAGCCCTCTTTATATAGTAGAGGAGTCCTAGTTATGGTACAATTCTAATTACGGAAGTAAATCCCATGATTAGCCTAAACAATCGCCCTTGATTTGATCAGTTCTGGGATTTCCAACTGTGATCTCCGACTAGTTACGAATATTCTGCCTTTCCGTTTTGCACTTCACTCGAAGTCGGTCATACTTAGTCTCGATTGCTGCTGGCCTCGGTCTCGACGGACATCTCGATTCCTCGTTTCTGTGCTATAGCCCGATCCATTACGAGGCTGAACCTCGACGTGATCCCCTTGTCTCGATTAAATAGCAAAACGGGCAAGTCCGATTTTAACCGTATACATATAGCAAATGCAATTTTAGGCGGCAATATACAATTAAAAACGTCAAACTCAAACACAATCCTTGACGCCACCATTTATTACTAACTAAACTCTAACTTTATATACTTGGTAATTGGTACAATGAATCTTTTGTGGAACTCTTTTGTCTTTTGGAAGGGCGTATTGCGGCTGGATGGGCCAAGATAGAGTGAATATTTTAACTTAAAATGAAACTCTGCTAAATTTGCTTGTAATGAATTTTTGAGAGGCACAAATTGAGGACAAAATTACTCGCAGTTAATGTTTGCTTCAAACTACTAAACTGATAATATGTGTGTTTTATAATAAAAATGTCCAAATTGACACTAAAAGTCAACAGGAATGAGCTCGATCATCCCTGCAATGGTGGAGCAATGAAGCTTCTAGAACCCAGCAAAGAGAGAGGAGAACAGAGTGAAATGTTTGATGAAATGAAGCTTAAGTCTTTCATTGATATCAACACTCTATATATATACACGAAGCAGTCCACTATGCTGCCAGCTATCACAAGCTGTCAGACTAACTAACATAACTACCAACTTACTATCATAACTAACTAACTAACTAACTACTATTAAATAGCAATATATCCCCCCCCCCCCCCCCCCCAAGTTGGAGGTGGTGAGAACACTACCAACTTGCTTAAAACACTAGAGTGTTTGATTCCCGTGAGAGATTTAGTAAGGATGTATGTGAGCTGATGATCAGTGGAAATGTGGTGCAGGGAGATGAGGCCTTCTTATAGCTGTTTTCTTACAAAGTGGCAGTCAACTTCGATGTATTTTATTCGTTCATAAAATACAAGATTCCTAGATATGTGTAGAGCTGATAAACTATCACAAAACACTGCAATTGGATGAATGGAAGGAACTCTTAGTTCAGCAAGTAGCCTACCAACCAGACCAATTCACCAACCACTTTCCTAAGTGACTTATACTCTGCCTCTGCTGAAGATAGTGAAACAATCTATTGCCTTTTAGATTTCCACCTGAGAGGGCTGCTTCCTAGCAACACAATGTACCCACCCACATACCTTCTTGAATTTGGGCATGAAGCTCAATTAGAGTCTTAATATGCTATAACAGACCAATTTGCATCATTAGACATAGAGACTCCCAAAGTGGGATCACCCTTGAGATATCTCAGTAGATGATAGACTGCTTTCAGATGAGGCTCCATAGGGTCTTGCATAAACTGGCTCAAGTGCTACACTGCAAAGGCTATGTCTAGTCTTGTGTTAGTAAGAAAGTTTAATTTCCTATCATCTTTCTGTAGTAAGTAGGATCTTCCAATGATGTGACCTCCTTGGCCTTCAAATTTACATTAGGATCAAAAGGAGAACTCAGGGAACCATATTCTAAATAATTGTACTCCTTCAACAAGGCTAAAAAAAGTTCCTCTGAGAGATAATCACACCATCAGGCTTATGCAGAATTTCCAGACCTAAGAAGTAATGCAGTCTGCTTAAGTCTTTTATTTTAAACTTGTTATAAAGGAAAGCTTTCAACTGATGTATTTTTTCTTGATCTATTCCTGTAACCAAGACATCATCTACATACACTACCACATAGACAACTGAATCTCCTTGCTGCTTGTAAAATAATGAATAATCATTCATGGAGTGATTGAAACCTCTTGAGCACAGTGCTTCAGTTAACTTTTCATACCAATATGTGCTTGCTTTCTTCAAACCATATAGTGACTTGTTTAGCTTGCAAACCAAAGATTGATCCTTCATCACGAGTCCTGGCGGAATCTCCATATATACCTCCTTATGCGAATCTCCATGGATAAAAGAATTATTTACATATAATTGGGACATTGTACACCTATTATTTACTGCAACTGCAATCAGTTTTCTCACTGTAGTAATCTTTACCATTGGGGAGAAGGTTTCTGTAAAGTCTATACCCTCCTGCTGAGTGTAACCTTTCACAACCAGCCTGGCTTTGAACCTTTCTATTGTACCATATGACCCAGGCTTCACCTTATAGACCCATGTACAACCTATTTTCTTCTTGTCAATAGGAAGTGGTACCAAATTCCAAGTGTTATTAGCATAAAGTGCTTCAAATTCCTGGACCATGGTTGCTTGCTAGGCAGGACTAACAGCAGCTTCAGCAATAGAAGATGGTTCACTGTCATTGGATATACTACTTACCAAAGCCTGACTACTAAGAATTAGTGATTCATGGGCTATGTGATGATGATTAGAAAACAAGGGGTTAAGAGAGAACGA